GGATTTTTACAAGCTAGTACTCTTGGAGATAGAATTTCTTTTGGTCCAACATGGTGTCTGTCTTTGTAAATAGCGAAGAGCAATATTTAGTGCTGAAGTCTCAAACCACCTTGAATTTGATGAACATGGAGTTAATTGGCTAGGGTTTTTATGGGCATATAGGTATTACGTCTGTCCTTTACAACGAGCTCCACATCTCATATCCGTTGGATTGTGAATTTGTGTTAGATATGATCTCAATGTGCGACAAAAAGTCAAGAAAATTCACTGCAAATCTCAACGCTGTTAAAATCCGACGGTTGTGATCTTTGATACAAGTCACAAAGAAATCAAAGACCTCGGATAGATTAGCTAGCTAGGGATAGCCATGTCTAATCACTTGGCCTAATCGATGCATTTTGTTGACTACATTATGTATGGCAGTGAGCAATAATGTTGTTGCACTGCTTAAGAATTGAAGTCGCTAGATCTCATCAATTGCCGGTTACACAGTAGCTTGACGATGCATTTTGTTGACTGCATTAGGTAGGGTAGAATCACCAATAAAATTTCAATAAATAAGTGCCTTTAGTTTTATGATTATTGTATATATGTTTTTTTTTAATTTTTTATAACAGACATATATATCGGAAACTACTTTGATTTAAGTGAAGAATAATTCAATTTTAAATTTATGATGATGGACATATTGTTCTAACTGACATAACTCATATTTGTGTGATTATGTTTTGATGACTACTGTTATAATTTTGTGAGCAGAGGTTCATGGCCTTCTTCGACGGAGATGAATGGAAGCTCTAATTTAAGACATGGACATGGTTTGGCATATACTCATTCCCCACCTTCAAATGGAACCAAGGTATGCAAAAATCAACACAATTACTATATCAATTTTTTTCATAAATTTGTATATATATATATATTATAACCCTATATATGTGTGTGCATATATAACGGTTTATTTTATATTTTGATATATAGGTGGAAAAAGAGGACTCAGGCCACCATGTGTATGACCAAAGCATGAAGGAGAGGCCGATGTTGGATTGTGGCTCCTTGGCATCGTCGGATATGTACCTTAATCTAGAGTTCACTCTTGGAAGGCCAAGTGGCGAATGGACTGTGCTCAATAGCCTCAACCTTCAAATGACCTAACCTTAGCTAGCTAATTAAGGTTCAAAATTAATCAAGTGTTAATTACTTAATTAAACACTAGAGTTAATATATCTTAATTTTTAGGCAGACGTCGAGAAAGAAAATATCTAATGTGCAATATCAATCACTCTTCATGTAACTTTCGATTCCATGTTTCTCTGAATTTTGTCTCTTTTTAATCATAAATTTAAGAGGGGAATGCATGGTATAATATAAACTATGTAATTTATCCTTAACATGCTCTCAAGGGCATAAACCGCTGCCGATTATATAGTCACGGTGCCTTCATACAAGTTGGTTTGAACTTTTCATTCTTTACAAGAACACCTTCATGCAATTAGGGGATGGTTGCTAGCGGAGTCTCTGACATGGATTTCGTATGAGTTCGATTGTTTAATCAACCGTAGGGCAAATGGATAGTTCTAAGATTTCAAGCGCCATGGAGAAGGACTACCCTTAAAGTAATTAATAAACAATATGAAATTAACTGATATAGAAACGAAACTAACAATTCTCGTAATAAACTTAAACTAAATATGAAATAAGACATTTTGGGCCCGATTTACTAGGCTCAAACTTGCCTCCTTAAGTCGGGCTTTCGAAAAGTTATCCTAACTCTAGCTTAAGGGTATTGAATGTATCACTTGGCCTTCGAAAAGTTGCGTTGGCTCTAATGAATGAATGATGATCGTGCTCTCAAAAAGTTGTGAGCTTCAATATAATAAATTGACCAGTTTCAGATGTGGATATTGGTTTCTTGTGTCAAGCCGCTCGTGAAAAAATTTGTGTTGGCTCTAGTGAACCGGACTGTCAAAAAGTTGTGTTAGCTTTGGTATAATAAATTGACAAGTATCATATGTGAAAAATGGTTTTCTATGTAGGGCCACTCGTAAGATCTTCCCTGCTCCAACTCAGCGATAAGATCGATGTTACTCCTCCTCCATTGCTAATGTATAAAGTCATAGGCCTTCAATCTTAGTACATTCATCAAAACCAGTCTCACAAAAAACTTGAGTGATTCTTCAATCAACCCAACTAATTTCAAAAACCCAATTGCTCTTTAGCAAAACCTCTAGCTCTTCAGCTACAATCTCAAAGTCTTCCTTCAAAACAAATACTACCTATGATCCATGATATCTAAAACTTTTACAGTGGTATGATTTGGCGACGTGCAAGTCAAACCACTGTGATTTCATCTATGAGACACATGTTTCATACCAAGTTTAGTCCAATACCAGTGATCTCAGTGGACTCTTCTAGCGTTATCTTGCCCTTCATGACCTAAATCTTGCTAAAGTTTTATTGCTTTCTTTATGTTTCCAATCAATTCACATTTGAACTCATGTAACTCGGCCTATCCGCCTAGATTTTACTTTATAAATGTTGTGATTTTGACTTCATTATGAAATGATTACATTCTGTTTCCCACTTTAGCTTCCATTTCTCTTTCATTTACATTTTAGGCAATTACACGCAAAGTTCCCCTGAATTTTAAGTCCAACACATAAAAGAACTTAACTGAACCAACGTCCCACTCAATGAACAATTGTGGTTAAGAAGTCAGATTTATTCGCAACTTTCCCACACAACCAAACACAAAAATACTGGTTGTTGGCAGCCTCCAACGATGTCTCGCCTATTCTCTCTTTCACTCAAATCATCCTGTGACACTAAGACCGAGAGTAACACCTGAGAAAAATACGTGTTGAACCCAAATTAGCACATGGTTTCAAAACCAGCATTGAATCTAATGATACACTTAACGCAGCGTGTGAGGATGTTGAGAATTGTTATAAATCGCAAGTCCAGGAAACTTGTTAGGCTTTATAAGTTTGGAAATAGGGGTGTGCTATCCACACACATTTTTTTTACTTCTCACACACCTCTTGTTGATTTCTATCCCTTGATTTTCTTCAATTTATCCGATTCGACGATCAAAAATTAAAAAGATGTGTGAGAAGTAAAAAATGGTGTAAATATCACACCCCTTGGAAATAGTCATTTGTAAAAGAGGAAAAATGGTACAGAACTAAGCCTGAATTATCCCAATATTGGGCCTTGCATGTCAAATTATATCAGCCGATATGAATCTATCAACAAAGGGGACCATATGATTTAAAATCTGATCAGTCCATTCAACGACAGACAGGTGGTGAAAAAAATGGAAAATGAAGAAAAAAGATGGGTGATGCGGACCGTCTTTTACTCCGAAACTGCGCTTGGAGTCTGGACAAAACTACAAACAGAGATGGAGATGATGATTTCTGAATGAAGGTGGATTGTCTGCCCTCCTATGTTCATATTTTTTTCATCTTCTTCTGTTTTGTGTGGTCACGGTTAAGCCACGTTAATATTTTATATTTCTATTACTTTTTGTTTTATTATTTTTATAAAAAATCAATATAAAATGTTGACGTGGTTTAACCGTGACCACACAAACATGGGATAAGAAAAGTATGAAAATGGGAGGGCAGACAATCCATCTTCTTTCTGAATTAAACACCACCACCAACGCAGAGTCCGGTCAATTATTGAGCTTAGGTACATTCAGTATTATTGACTTGTTCATCATTTCAATTTGAATTTGCTTTTATCGTTTTTTTATTATCACAAAAATTTAATGTAAAAAGTTTGAAAACTTTGAATTTTAATGATAAGGATAAAATAAATAGTACCATGTTTGATTTTTTAGTATAAAAATATGATTTTTTGTTAAAATAACCAGTACCGCGGAATTTTCGTTAAACTCTCTTTGAAAAAAAAATAGGTTTAAGTGACTTTAATTTAATTTCGTTGTTATGAGGTATGTCAGTTAGCGTGGGCTATGTAATCTTTGAAAAAAACTGCAGGTCGTACTTTACGTCCAATTACAAGTAATATCCCATGCTTGTTGGACAAGAATTTGCTTTGCTTTGAATCTTGTCGCCATTGTACTATTCATAATCTGCTACATTTGCATTGTTTTTGGACATTTCACGCTTAAGTTCTTGATAACATTAAAATTTTGAAATAATACTTTAAGGGATGTGCTATCCACACATCCTTTTTTACTTCTCTTACACCTCTTGTTAATTTATGTCCTTTGATCTTCTTTAATTCATCCGATCCGACACTCGAAAATTAAAATGATGTGTGGATATCACACCCCTACTTCAAACTCAGTAATTTAAAAGGAAAGTAAACATATTTTTTCTCGTTTTGCTCTTAAATAGTTTATTTATAAAACTTAAAATCGTTGGAGTGCCTTTAATTTATATTTTTAGTTCATTCAATTTTTTTTTTTTGTCCATTCAGTTCTATTGTAAAGTAAGTTTATTGAACTTTAACCGTTAACTCTATTGGATGTTATTATCAATGAAATCATTTTCACACTTTCGAATCTCAAACTACCAAGATTTGCTCCCCCTACATACATATTAAACACCAATTTGATGGATAGTTTATTTCAATGTTAAGAAATATGTCTGTGAAAAGCTTAGTTAAATGATAAATGTTCAAAAACAAATTGATAAAAATTCTTCGCTCCTGAAAGTCGTTTAACAATTTGGTTTCCGATCGATCCTTCCGGCCGCGCCTCAATATTTTAAATGACGGTTAGCTGTCTCCACGTTAGCCATCCAATATTTTAGGGTACTCCTAAGTAACTAAATTTTTAAACCCAGTTTGCAAACAAATGATATGTCACCAATAGAAAATAAGCACGTTAATCAACACTAGGCAAAACCTGTTCCCAACAGGCTTGAAAGTGAAAGTTAGATCGCCAGAAAAAGAAAGGGATGTCCAGTAGATGAGAGGCAACTCCTTTGCCAACCTTGCCAAATAAAGCCGACTCTATCTCAGCGAGAATGACGATGATTTTGTCTTCAAAAAAGAGAAGGATGACATTATCTTTGCCATGCCTTAAGGGCAGGTTGTTGATGAGGAGTGGAATGGTTCTGACTTGGACATTGTGTCCAAGTTGAGTAATTTGTCTGGGAAGCTATATGAATAGACTAAATTAGTTTTTGGTCCATACAAAGAAATAATAATTTAATCATCAACAACTACATTATTTGATAGTCTCCCTAGTATTAACTAATCTTTTAGCCCTGATTATATTGTGGTGTGATAATTGATCCTTCACTTGAAACTTTTTTATAACATTTCAATTTCATACATTTACTTATGATTTTATTTCAATTTCATACATCTGTTAGAAAATTTGTTTCATACATCTGTTAGAAAATTTGTTAAGTAAACCGTTAAGTGATGACGTAGCAAATATGAAATCCACATTTGTGCTGACGTGACTGCCAAATTTGTGACATGTGGCAAAAAAAATAAAATTTTATGCATTTAAAATATTATAATATTTATCCTATTTATTAAATTAAAAAAAAAAAAAAAACCCAATCAAACCCAGAAATCATTCCCCCCGACCCACCCCCCAACCTCACCCCTTCCCCATCTACACTGAGCACCTGACGTCCCCCTTCGCCCACCAGCCCTTGGATTCCGGCAACATCCGATTCAAGTTCGTCCTGGGCGGGGCCCCTTTGTCCCCGTGGGAGGATTTCCAGTCCAATCGCAAAACCCTTGTTGTCATCAGCATCTACCACTGCCCCTCGTCTCCCAATCTCGACTCAATCATTGATCAATTCGACTCGGCTCTCCGCACCTACTCCTATGCCCTCGTCAATCGTTGCTTCGCCTTCTGCCCCGACGATTTTCAGGTCCAGAGAATGCTAATCTCGATTTCGAATTTTCGAATTTTTTGGATTTATTGTGTGTTGATTGGATTACAGTTAGAGGATGGAAGCAAGAAAGGGTGGGGTGAGGTTAGGGGGTTTGTGGAGGGGGGGTGGGGGTGGAATGGGGCTGAGGAGAGGGAGTGGGTTGTGGGGAATATGGTTTCTGGGTTTTTTTTTTTTTTTTTAATAAATAGGATAAATATTATACTATTTTAAATGCATAATTTTTTTGGCCACATGTCACAAATTTGTCAACCACGTCAGCACAAATATGGATTCTATATTTGTCACATCATCATTTAACGGTTTATTTAATAGGTTTTTTAACGGATGTATGAAATTGAAATAAAATGATAAGTAAATGTATGAAATTGAAGTGTTTTAAAGATGTTGTAAAGAATTGAAAAACCTGTGGGGGTCAAATGTAATTTACCCAAATAAAAATTAGTAATTGAATTAGGTTTTGATACTCACACCTTTAGTAAACTCTTAATTAATTTTCAATCCAAAACATTTTTAAAAATAATAAATAAAATAAAAATAAATTTGTACTAATTAATTTTTATGAAAAGAATTTTCAATTTATTTATCTTAAATGTACCCATTTGTATAATATTTCAATTTTTTTAATCTTAAATGTACCATTTCTTAAATATACCAATTTGTTATATAATACTTTTTTAATATAAAATATACCCTTTTTTTATACAAAATTCATTCAATGTTTTTTGAATCCATTTTTAAACTTATATGGATATATTATCTATGTAAAGTTTAATCGAAATTTTTTATTAATATTATTAAGTCAAGTATGAATGTAGCTATGTTTTGGTGCTATAATTTTTTTGTTTAATTTTGATGAATGTACGCATGTTTATACACACACACACATATCCTAGAAATCTCTGGAGTTGGGTTTTGTTCTGTGATTTAATCTGGAAATTTATCTGCAAATTATATTTTATAATTTTCGTCTATTATTTAGTCATAACTTTATATTACATTATTAAGTTTGATATGCTTTGTGCGAGTTTTGTAGAAATTATAAATTATTTTACCTACAGATGTTCGATTCGCATATGTAACGATGTGAGAATCAGAATAAAACATTATTTATGTGCTTGCAGACGGCTATTCTAGGAGGGACGGATCCCATAATAGCGACCTTAGCGTGGGTTCTTTCTTTACTACTGAGCAACCGTGAAGCCTTGAGGAAGGCTCAAGAAGAACTAGACAAACAGGTTGGGAGGGAAGGGCAAGTGAAAGAATCAGACGTGAAGAACTTGGTCTACTCCAAGCAGTTATCAAAGAAACTTTACGTTTATATCCTCCTTCGCCACTCGCAATCCCACATGAATGCAGGGAGGACTGCACTGTAGGAAGCTACCATGTGAAAGCATGCACTCGTCTTTTCATCAATATTTCAAAGATTCAGCGAGACCCGAATGTCTAGCTCGATCCTAGCCAATTCCAACCAGAAAGGTTTTTTACAGCTCAGAGGTATTTTGACGTTAGGGGACAGAATTTTGAATTCATACCATTTGGAAGTGGTAGAAGAATGTGCCCTGGAGTCTCATTGGCTCTTCAAGTTGTTCAACTAACGGTGGCTCAACTCCTGCATGGGTTTGAAATTGAAACGATGTCAGATGAACCCGTTGATATGACTGAGAGTTCTGGAATAACCAACATGAAGGCCACCCCACTGAATGTCCTCCTCACACCTCGCCTTCTGGCCAAACTTTATGAAATAAATTAATAATATTATGGACTTGATAATAAATAAGAACATTTTCCTAGTTACCAAAATTCGAACTTAGGTGCAAAAGTGGGCGAACATAGCGACTGGCCTAGCTCACCTTTCGCTATCTGTCTCTAATTTGTAACGATTGTGCAAAATGTTGAAAGTCAGCTTTGTAATTTGCTTCATTGCTACGATTGGTTCTTTATATTATTTTAATATATTGTATTGGCTTGGATGAATTTCTCAGTTAGTTAAGGCCTAACCAACTAACTCAATATCGAATACTCCCTCTGGTAGATTCACAACAGCAATAACAAAGTCTTGTTTCACTAAGCGGGGTTAGCCCTATGAATTGGTTGATTACCTAAAGTCATTTAGATTTAGCTCTGTTGAAGGATGGTCAAGCTGAGTTAGCTAGAGTATCAAATTAGAGCCCAAACTTTTGGAGTTCTTATTACAAAATCGCGCTGAAAATCGCAAACCCATTTTCTCATGTCCATTTCTGTTTGTGCCTTTCTTCCTGGTGGTCCTCTTCGAAAATAACATTACCCCATCGTATCATTACTGCAATCACATGGTGTTAGTGTCACATTCATGCAATTCGTGAGTGAGCGATGTACACAAAGGGATATACAACCCATTGCAAGTAAATTTAACCTCGTTTCTGAGCTCGGTCAGTGTCTGGCAAAATCTTAACCATGAAACCCTAATCTTGCATCAATGTCACATTAACATCATCGCAATTTGCAAGGGATTACCAACAACTGTTATCTAAGGTGGACCATGAGCCCTTTAGTCACCTAACTGGCTACAAAAGGGAAAAAAACGTTGCTTGCCTTTTCAAAACTAATTTTAGCTAAATTACATCTATAATGCTACAAATTAAGTGAGGTTAATCACACAATACAGTAGTGTGGAGCAAAAAATAATCCCAAAAATCATGGAGCTGACACGTGAATTATTCTCCAAAGAGACAAGATTGCCCATATTAAATGAGCAGGGAGCAGTCTAATTTACCACGCTCAGCTGAGGTAGAGCAGGCAAAGATCAACGACTGCTTAGGGCACCCGTGCCCGTAGGAAAAGTCAAATGTATTTATGATAGAATAATCCTTATTCTTATCATAAATACATTACTAATCAGAGAAAATATCTTTCAAGTATGTAAACCTAATCCATTTATTTAGGATATTTACCCAATTACTACAAGATATTTATTTACACAAATATCTTGAAATATTCTCACCAAAATTCCACCTTAAGGCCGGCCACCCATAAACCCTAGAGGGCAAGCTCATACTCCTCTCCTCTCCTATAAATACACACTTTATCTCCAAAAATTAAGTAAACTTTAGCTACCCCTAAAAAGGCTTTTTGCTATCCACAAACACTCAAACACATTATTTTCAGAATTTTAACTTTGACATTGGAGATTCTTCAGCCAAAGCCCTCATTCATCGTGGGCGTATGAGACTTTTGGTCTTAATCTTAGGTGTTATTATTTTGCTGATGCTTTTTCGTCAAAGGAAGAGACGATGGAAATTTGCATCCACAAATAGCTTCAAGTTAAAAAACAAAAAAAAAGCTTTTGAATCATCAAAGTGCTTCTGAAAATATATGACAATAAAAGCTTAGGGGTTTTGAAAAGTGGGTTTATGAAATTATATGACAAAAAATCACTTGAAGTCCCTTTCAAAATAAGCACATAAAATCGTTTTAAAGCATAAGTGTGTATGAGCGTCTCTGGCTTGGTCTCACTTGGCTAACAAAGTCAGTTTGTATTAATTGGCCACCCATTAAACGACGGCGAAGACAGCGGTTACCCGATTATCTTGTCTGGGTTTTTGTTACATGCCCTTTATGACCTTGAACAGCCCAATTGTCTTATTCTTAGAGTTCCTAATTATTAAGGGGTACTTTGGACAATTTACATGGATATTAGTTGGCCAATGATTAATTAGTTCAAAGGGGGAGATTATGCTACAAGCTACTTATAATCTTCCTTGAAATATGAGAGATTTGTAGGGTGCTCAGAATATGGGATATACATCACATGTTATTATATAAGTTGTGAGATACTTGCGTTAAAAATTAACAATTTGAAAAATAAATTTTCTTTTGCTTATGTAATGACACGTAATATAAATTAAATTGGTTAACAAAGATACTATGCTCTCCTAACAATCGAGTTTAATCCTTACATTGTAGTTTAAAATAGTTTATAAAATTAAAGCGGAACACGAACCGATTTCTACTATTCTAGGTTTCTTTTATCACCAGACCAAAATATTAAGTAACTAATCATCTTATAACTTAAATTAATAGATCGCAATATAAATCAAATTATAAAATAAAAAGTAAATTACAGGAAATCTATTTTATATTATTAATAAAATGAAAGATTGATAATTTGCATATCTTAACTAGGGTCAGTTAACCAGGGTTAGCATTAGGTGGTTAATACGATCCTCCTTCTCCCAAGTTCTAACGAACGCGACACAAAGTCACACAAAGAGTCCAACTCCAACCTACTGCACTTCACAGTTTCCACAACTTTGAAAAAGGATCCTGATAATTCCGCGGGAGGAAGGAATCTATGGTCGGACAAGGCGGCACCGCCGCGAATCAGGGCGGAAGCGCCGATAAAGTAATAGTGGCTGTGAAAGCAGAGAAGGTGATTTCGAAAACGGCATTGGCCTGGGCGCTCACTCACGTCGTTCACCCCGGCGACTGCGTGACCTTGCTCGCCGTCTTCTCCACCGCTAAAACCGGTAATTCAGCTTGTAAACTGTAGTTAAAACCTTACTTCTGCTGCCCAGTTCGTGTTGCTAATGTTGAATTTGTACGAGGCAGGTGGAAAATTCTGGAACTTCCCGAGATTCACCGGAGATTGCGGGAGCCGTCGCCGGGAAGATTTGCCGGATCGGATTTGCCAGATCTCCGATTCGTGTTCGCAGATGGTTCTCCAGTTTCACAGCCAAATCCAGGTGAATCGTTATTGCTAACTGAATTTACCTTAATGCCACTTACCGCGTTTCTCGTTCGAGTCCATTTTCGTCAATTTACAATTTCTCCGTTTTCAAAATTTCAACCTTTAGCGACAAAGACCCACGTAGTTTGGTTGGCCTGCTTAGTGCTTAAGATGCGGCCACGTGGACGTCGGACGTTGGAGCTTGTCTTTTGTTTCTGTGTTTTGCACAACTGGACACAACTTGATGATGTAGGCTATAGTTGTCCGCCCTTCATGCTCATTTTTCAATTTATCTCCAATAATGCATAAGTCATTTGAATTTCATTATAGTTAACTTTATGTCGACTGAATTAGGTCAGTTAGTTAAGACAGTATGCCGGTTTTCTTGGACCTGAGTACAAGTCCCTCTACCGGTAGATTAGAGTATTAGTTTGAATTTAAAAAACATTGAGTTAATTTTATATAAATATTAGCAGATGCCACACATTTTATGTATGAGATACATAATTTATATTTTTCTCATATATTGTATTTTTAATTTTTTTATTCGAGGATTTATTTGTTTTTCGTTGTGTTGTGAGGTTCAAAAACAAATAGCAAAAAACTTGTTTGTGTGAAATTACTTTAATGCCCACAATTTTGTTATTTTCTTTTTTTTTTCTTCCAGTTATGTATTAAAGGCTATAATTGTAATTTCATTGGTTTATTTTGTTGACAAAAGTAGTTTTTAGATAATATAGTTTAAGGAAATATTGTTTAACAAGATAATCATATGGCTTGTAGTGTCTCTTGCGGTTGATCACTTGGTTGTCAGAGTTTATTAGATTTTGGATTTGTTTTTAGGCACAAATAAGTTAATCATTTGAGGGGAACATGGCATGTGCTTGGAACATGTCGTGGGGTGTGCATGGAATTAGAAAAAAGGAAAACGATCAATCGTATCTTCCGTATGAACTACGAAACTTTTAATAGCATTAACCAATCCCAATTAAATCATTTGAATTTTTATTTATCTTCGCGGTGTTTTTTTTTTGAGAACTTTAACGAAAAGTTTTCGGTACTGTTCACTTTAACGAAAAACCACATTTTTATACTAAAAGTCAATCCTGGTACTATTCACTTTACCATTTATTTAGTCTTTATCGTTAAAACTCAAAGTTTTCAAGTCATTTTCATTAGTTTTCCTGTTTTTTTTCCTTTATTTTTGTTGCCAGGAATTCGGTTTCTAATTTACTGTTTATCTTAACCTCGCCGCTGGTTCTAAAACATAACTAGTTATGCTCATATATTGCAGGTAACAGTGAGGATTAAGGTAGTATTAAGTACACCAGATGGGGTTGTGGCGGCTGAAGCAAGATGCAACGGAGCCAATTGGGTCGTACTGGACAAGTAATTAAACATAAAAAAGTATTGTTTCTTATTTCCGAGCTATTGATTTAGGTGCATGCATTACGGGTCGATTGCTTCCTTCACAACTGGACACATCTAGTGCCATCCTAAACTATAAACGACGTTATTCTTAAGCCTGTGTAGTTGTAGTTTTTTGGTACCTTTTTCCCTCGGGCGGCTAAACAACCGAATGTTCTCCTTGTTTAACAGAAAGTTGAAGCAAGAGCGGAAGCATTGCATGGATGAGCTTGGATGCAACATTGTCATGATGAATGGAACTGAGCCTAAAGTCCTGAGACTCAATCTAGCATGCCAAGATGAACTCCAAACCCCATTCTTTTCTGCCGCTTCTTCACCAGGATCTCATGTTGGAAAATTTCAAGGGCATCATAGAATGAAGCATTCCACTCCGGTTAGCAGTCCTGAAGAACCAAGCTCCTCCTACACAAGAACCACTGGAGACGGTTCATCGTCAAGTTACGACACTGTGACTTCTCTTTTTCTCGTCTATGAACAGAATCCTCTTTTCGAAGGACCACGAATAGGAGACCGCATACCAAATGATTTAGAGGATCCGTATGAAGAACTTGAGACAATTGGAGAGAGGCTTATTAATCTATCTAAACCTCTAACGTCATCTGCAGTCACTACTCAGAGTGTCTTTTGGATCCCCCAAAATCACATTGTTGATCATGGAAAGCCTCCAACTCCCCAAAATAGTAAAAACGATGACAAACCAAGATCTCCCACTTTCCATACTCTTTTTGAGGAGTGTTCACCATTTGATCAAGATACAAGGATAGATCAATTTGAGCCGAAGGAAACCCCTAAGAAAGGGTACCTTATTAATTCTAGCATCAGGGATGCTGTTTCTTTGGGTAGAACCTCCTCAACACCTCCACCATTATGCTCTCTATGTCAACACAAAACACCGGTATTTGGGAAACCTCCAAAGCAGTTCTCGTACAAAGAGTTGGAGGAAGCTACAGACACGTTCTCAGATATCAACTTCTTGGCAGAAGGTGGTTTCGGTGTGGTGCACAGGGGAGTTTTGAGAGACGGTCAAGTTGTTGCTGTGAAGCAGTTGAAGTTTGGTGGATCTCAAGCAGATGCTGACTTCTGCAGGGAAGTACGAGTATTGAGTTGCGCGCAACAGAGGAACGTTGTGTTGCTGATAGGGTATTGTATTGAAGGCAAGGCAAGGGTATTGGTTTATGAGTACATCTGCAACAGCTCGTTGGATTTCCATTTGCATGGTATGCACTTTTCTTCTTGTTTTTAGTTTGGAACATATCCACAACTCTATTCAGTTTCATAGACTCGACATTCTCTCTGAATGACAGGGAAAAGAACCCGTCTAGATTGCGAATCGAGGCTAAAGATAGCAACAGGAGCAGCCCGTGGTCTACGATATCTGCACGAAGATTGTAGAGTGGGATGTATAGTACACAGAGACCTCCGACCCAACAATATCCTTCTAACCCACGATTTTGAACCTCTGGTACTTGATATAATCCTGGAATTTTTATCATATATTTCAAAAACCATGTTCCCTTGTCTAGTACAGATCATATTTCTTAATTTTGTATTTCATCCATGATTTACACCGGTCAGAAATTTGTTCACATTTCCTGTGTGCAATCAAACATTTAATACACCTGTATTGACGCTTATGGAATGTGCTCATGTGCTTGCTTGTTTGTTATTTGTTTAGGTTGCGGATTTTGGGCTTGCTAGATTTTACTCCGAATGGGAGATGAGCAGTGAGGACCGCGTGATTGGAACTTCAGGGTACTTTCTCCACATCCTGCTTGCTATAGATCCTAGATTTCTTTTGTACAAAAGCAATGCAATTATTTGCATGTAATGAAATAAAAAAGAAAGGGAAGTCATTCCATCTGATCAAGCTCAATGTGATATGTAGGTATCTGGCGCCGGAGTATGTGGATGGCGGGCAAATTACACATAAAATTGATGTGTATGCATTCGGAATAGTTCTGCTAGAGCTTATGACCGGTCGAAGAATCACTGAGCTACAATATGCCAAGGGACATCGTTATTTAGAAGAATGGCTCCACCCCCTAGCTACATTAGAGCCACACCACATCTTACCAACTCATTATCAGCTACTGGATCTGGACTTGGCCTCCGATGAAAATCCTGACTTTCCCCATCAACTACAGGCCCTGGCACGTGCTGCTTCTCTGTGTCTGCGTCGAGACCCTGAATCCAGACCCCCAATGTCAAAGGTTACCTAATATCCTAGCTCAGTTGCTAACTCTTTGCCAAATTAATTTCCCCTTTTTCGGGGGATGAAGTCGTTTGAGTTCAAATTGTGTGGCTTTTTGTACAGGTGCTGAGAGTGCTAGAAGGCGGAGATCCGGTTGTTCCTCTGGGCCTAGACTTGAACACTGCTGGTAGTAGGAGTGGTCATCTGCCTGGACTGAGGCGACCCGAAGCAAGAGGAAGCCATTCTCGTACATTATCACATTGAATACCGATTCATCTTTATGGTTACGATATTTTTTTCTATACAAGCGATATTGGGGGAGGAGAATCAGACTTGGGGCCTCGGACTTAACCAACCGAACGAGTTTATGTGTCCCTTGATGGGTTATGATGAGAATTCGTATTGCACATTGCAGTTTTCATGACATATTTTTTACTTCCACCGTTGTTTTGAGTTACAGTATAAGCCTGTAATGAAGTTCTTTACATGTATATCAGAATAATCAATTTGTTTCCACAACTTTAATTACAGTATGAAATATATACATATATATATATATATATATGTGTGTGTGTGTGTGTATAGTTGATTGTTTCCCAAGTATTTTAATCCTCAAGATGAGGGATGCGAGGGCGAGGTTTGGTATAACAGAAAAGTTTTTATAACTGAAAAAGTTACAGCTTCGAGTAAAAAAAATAGCTTATTTGCAAAGCAAGGGTAAGACCATTGCAGAACAGGAAGTCTTGTTGGCTTGGGATCGTCCTTTTAAGATAAGGGATATGAGGAAAATAATTGAATGATGTCCAGCAAGTTAACTGACGACTTTGCTAACAATTCTTAGGAAAATGTTTTCAAATCAATTCTTAGTAAAAATTTAAGTGTTTCTTCCAAAAAGAAATTAAAATGTTTTTGAAACCGAGAATCAATTTCACAATAAACACTTTCAGTGAATTTTTAATTAAGATCTTGTGCCCGAATCATCATGAGAAACCATCCATAACATGCAAAGCACATCTATTAGTAAGAAATTAACAAAGAAATGGAGTGAAACTAATTTATTTCTCATATATACTCCCTTCATCACACGCTCCAATCCTTTCATCTCATCGCCACTAATCAACGGTCCAAATCATTCTCTCTACGCTAGTCATAAAAGATCTTGAATCAGACACGTGGCGCAACACTATTAGCCAGTAAGACCGAAAAACCATCGGTCGTAAATCATCGGAACCTCTTGTTATGGCTGCTACCCCGACCCGCCGAAGACGTATAACTCCCATCGGACGGAATCGAATCCGCATCGAACCCCCCGCGCTGGTGACTCATCGCCGTCAGCTCCGGCGCCTGCTCCGATACCCCCCATACCTTCACCGACTTATCCAGACTCCCGCTATACACAATCCACCGCTGCTCGTCCGCTTTACTCGCATTTACATCCTTGTCCTTCTCCACCGCAAGGCACTTCACCGGCCCCGTGTGCCCGGACAGAACCGACAGGCACGTGTGGATCGTTCCCTCCCTCCGCCACACGCAAATCGTCTTGTCTGCCGACCCGCTGAATACCAAGTTCCCCGCCGCCGCCAAACAGAGTACCGCCAGCTTGTGCCCCTTCAGCACGCCGCCGTGCGACAGCTGCTTCTCCCGCTCCCAGAAATTCACCAACCCGTCTGACGATCCGCAGTAAACTATTGACCCCGACGCGCTGGCAGCGAGCGCCGTCACCGCGCTCTCCTGCTTCAGCAGCGTCTGCGCCAGAGTGTGCTTGATGATCTTCCCGCTCTGCTCCTTCTTCCAAACTTTAACCGTCCCGTCCGCCGCCCCCGTGTACACCATCCCCTCCACGCTCGCGACGACGGAGTTCACCGCGTCGTCGTGCGCGTGGATCGATTCGATGCATTTCGAGGTTTCAATTCGCCACACTTTTAACGTCCTGTCCCAGGAGGCAGAGTAAAGAAGCTTCTTGTCCTCACTGAGGCTCAGGCACGAAACTGCGTCGGAATGCTTGATCCAGAGCTTCTTCTGCCGCCGCACCTGAACGTAATTGCTGGGTTTCACGGAGTATTTAAAGATATCCATCATTGTAGGCAGAGTCCCGGCGCGTTTGTGCACGCTCTGGTCTTTCGATGAGACCCGCCACACCCGGATCTTTCCATCTTGGTGACCCGTGAAGAGCTTGTCGCCTGAAATGACGATTGCTTTCACGAGCCCACTGTTCGATTTGAATCCACTGAATTCTTTGAGATTTTTCCACACCCGGATGTTCTTGCTGTCCGAACCGGTGTACAGCAGGTCTCCTGTGGCCGCGAGAGAGTAGATATGGCCTTCCTCGCGGAGGAGAGACCCAATAAGGCCGTTCGGAGGAACGTTAGATTCCTCGAACGGCTGCCAAGGTGACTTGGAGAAGGGGGAACTGGAGGTGTTGTTCCAGGGCGACATTGTCATCGGAGAACACTCACCGCTCATTCGCGTCGGGTCAAGAGAGCAAGCCGCGCTGAGGGCGGAGGCACTGCTGTTCCGTGTCGGGTATTCTACGTCGGGGTCGGTCACCATACTGGCGGAGGCGGGGATGTTGGGGGCAGAATGCGCGAGGTTTTCAAACTTACTCCGAGGTATAGACTCCGCCTCCGCCAGCATCCTGCCCTAATTCAATTCAAGAAAAATTTTATTCGAACCCAATTATTTTCAAATTTTAATCGCTCGCATCCGCGAAACTGATTAAATATTAAAACGGAAATTAAATCAAAATAAACTAAAAGATTTTGAAGATTTTAAAGTTTGAATTTGGAGAGATGTGGGTTTTAATTAATGGTGGGAGGAGAAAATGGAGAGAAGGAATGTAAGGAATTTACGAAATGAACAAAGAAGGCGGGAGATGAGAGCCGGGGACCATATAAATATAAATAGGGATTTAAGGGCCGTTGTGATTTTGACATGTGTGGGGTGGATACGTAGGGGTTGCGTGGCAAGGGGTTTTCGGGTTCCGGATAATCCGGGTCGGACGCTCAGAATAGCAAGTTGTGTGTGTTATACGGTTCGGGCTGGACTTGGGTCAGTTGGGTGGTCTCTGTATATTTGCTATTTTGGGGTGTTATGTTAGAGTTGTTTTTCTTGGCGGTTTAGGGTTTTACGTCCTATATTGTATTGGAGAGATTTTTCAATGCGTACGAAATACTATATATTATTATATAAATGGAGGAAATTTTTATTTTTTTATTTTTTGAAGTGTCTTTTCACTTATATAATGATATACATATATCTGCCCGTGTTCCAAACACACTAAAAAATCTCTAATTATACTGCCCTTTTACCAAATGGTCAAAATCCAATGCAAAATGGTTGTGTTATGAGACATGATTTTGTCATGTATAGATTATAAAAAGCACCGCTCCAAGGAAAAAAAAAAATTAGGGTGGATTGCAAGTGAGCTAAAGCCCTTGGTAGTTGGAGGATTGAGATAATGAGTTACGAATTATAATAAATTCAGCTTAGGAGTTGTAGTAGACTTTGTGTGAATTTTGATTGAATTCTCTCAAAATCTTAATTAGAGAGAAAGACTAAATTTGTTAAGGCTTAAAATACACTATAAGATCTCTTTAATTCTATCAGAATCTATCATTTTATAGAAATCTTTTATAGACTACTTTTGATCTTTATTGATTATAATCAAATTTCTATGGACTTTTATCATGTATTAAAATTCTTATAGAAAATTACTGAATTTTTATCGATTCGTTTAAATTGGGTTGAACACCCTTGAAATTTTTAACTCTTTAAAAATTGTGACTTCGTTTTTGTAATTGTGTGTGATCATTTCTTGCCCTTGTTTTCTTGCCATTGTTTCTTATATAGTTGGATCAAATTGGCATGAGAATTTGTGTTCCAGAAACAAAAACAAAAATATTTGTAATTGTAGTGATTTCTAGTTTCGAATCATTATATTCAAAGTGATTTCTATATTGTTATGGTTATGGGTCTAGGACTATAGTCTAATGTTTCGTGTCACTCGGATGTTGGTCATTGGTTTTTCCTTCCTCTTCTAAATTTTAATATCATGTATTTGACTACAATATTTATATGTATTTAATACAATTATTATCTCTACTGTTAGATGATGATAATATTAAATACATATATTCACATAAATTATATATGATCATCATATAATGATTGTGTTAAATACATGTAAGCGTATTGTAGCCAATTCCTACTTATCAAACAACATTTTAACTGAGACGTGATAAAAGCAATAGCTCCTCATATATGATCATAATTTCTTGGAGGAAAATGCCGGAGTCCGTCTTTAAACTGAAAATATGTTATACTTTTACCACCGACCAGGAAAAGTGCAATACTATTTTACTGTGGGTGGCACGCATATGCATATGCTGCTAGAATGTCAGCTTACGTAGCTAAGTGGACTCCTTCCTTTAGTTTAAAGTTAAAAAGTTAAGAGTAAGAAAAGATGTATGCACTAACTTGCAGGCAGTTGGAAGATGATGATATCCATTTTCTCTATTATGTATGAACATGGATGGTGATATATAACGAATTCACAAATAGCCATTTTAGCAAAAAAGAGAAACAAATATCAATAATTGACACACAATTAAAAGAAATTATCTTCATTAACGAACTACAACCTAAGTACGGGCACACACGAACGCTCCAATAATCTTATGCAAACAATATTAACAAAGACTCTAACTGACTAGAAAAATATTTACAAACTAATACTTCTATGTCCTATCTTTTACACTATGGTCCTTAATAGTTTGCATGTAGTTCAATATCCTAGGGTAGGGTGTTGGGTTTCCACCTATGTGTCTCGTGTCTGAAACTGCCCCTCCCCTAAATTATTGTATTAATTTTGAACTTTCTCCCCTCCCTTGAACAATAATAATTAAAAAAAAAAAACAATAGAACCGAGACCGACTTTCATCAAAAAATTATAGTGTCGTCTACAGCAGGTAATCAACAAAAATTTCTCATTTTAGGGTATTGTAAGAACAATTGACGTATTAATATCCATGCAATATTTCCTAGCTTGTTTCCCTTTTTTTGGATCCACTAATTGTTGATCATATAGAAACGAAACTCATTAGGAACCTTTAACGTCTCAGCCAATTGCCCCAATTGCTAGGGGGTTGAAACTCACCTTATAAAATCTTTCAATACAAAGAAATTTGATTTGAAATGTAGAATACCTCTCTCTCTCTTGTCCCAAAACTACAGAATAATAAATCAGAGGAGCTGCTGATCACCATAAAGAAAAGGGTAAACAACAAGAAAACAACAAGCCATAGCCTTCCATATGGTTCGAGTGTCAATCATTCGGTCTACGACGACGTCGTCCTTGCTCCACCATTGAAATTTATGGGCAACAAAAGAAATGGTGGAGAAAAGCAGCATTTTATTTTACCACCATATGTAAAATCAAGTGGAACATGACGACAAGATGACCAGTTAATAATTAATAAAACCCTAGTTCCTTGTTTGTACGCGAAGGTCCGAAGAAACCCTAGTTTTCTGATGATGGCAAACGGCCAAGAAACCTTCTGAAAAGAAATTGTAATGGAACTAATTTGTTAGGGTTTTGGCAAGGCCGTTGCTTTCATTTAGAGGCTGTTAGTCGGTTACAAATTCATTCAACCGGTTCTTGCCGAGAAGGGAAAGTGATTTGACCAGACCGAAGAAGGTCGAAACTGCAAATATGGAATCAGTGACATCGTGATGCACAATCTTTCATTATGTGTTTGGTACGGCCATTCATACCGTGACACGTGTGAGACCAAATACCAATGTCACCTTCCCAGCTGCCACGTCTACGGTTTCGGTTTCTCTGTCACTTTCTGAAATTCTAGGGTTTGGGGTACTGGATTTTGAATTATTTGGGGCACTTGGACCATTTGGTGAGCCATGTTGGGAGGCCACGTATTTGCGACTTCCTTACAAGCATGATGCTATGCAACATAGTGTATAGGTACAAGACATTGCCTAATTTTGTCGATGTAGTGTTGTGTATGTGCAAACATGTGGTTTAACCGACTTCAGCAGCGTTCAATTTAAATAATGCATATTGGTTCATGTCAATTTGTCAAATGCGTGCTAGTTTCAGTAAGTCACGTATGTGGATGTCACATACTTTAAGCTAGAATTATTCTATACATGTGTTTGCGTTTGATCTTAACTTTACCGAACATTGTACGTATTAGAAGTAATCAAGATAAATTATGTGCTTTCACTTATGTCACGGTGCATGCATTGTAATTTTGAAGCCAGTTATACGTTGTGCATTTTTATTTGGATAATGTTAGGGAGAATAAAATTTTAAACTAAATTGGTAAACCAAATAATGTGTCTCAAATAAAAAATAAGCACATTAATCAACATTTGAGTAATAATCTTGTTTATACCATACTTAGGGCCTCTGTATTTAGACATCGTATAAATACTCGGATGACTCAAATGTAATTATGTAATAAAGGAAGGGGCAAATATGTAAAAAGGGGATGAGCCCTTATTCTATAAAAGGGCCTCCTCACCCTCACAAACCTTAAGTCTCTCCTATCTAAAGCAAAGCTCTCATACTCTCTCCCTCATAAATACTCTCAAAGAAATACAATCAGTGTGGACGTAGCCTAAACATTGGGGTGAACCACGATACATCTTGTGTTCTTTACATTTCTTGCAGATTCACGGTCGAATTTACATTGTTCCAAGACTTCCGGTTTTGTGCATCAACATTTGGCGCCGTCTGTGGGAATCGACACGAAAAGTTATGTCGGTTCTCTCTCAATTTTTCACCTCCGCCGTGAATCTGCAAAAACCCAAAGCTTTCCCAGAAAACCCATGGAGCCACCTCATTTCCCAGTCAGTCGCACACAGAAACTAAAACAAAAAGGATCTGAGACCGTGACACAATGCAAGTTGGGCAATGGAAAGAAACATCGTGCTAGGTCAAGGGGAGACATGTGGCTGCTGTTTATGGGCCTGGACAGTGTTGGCAAGAAAAAGAGGAATTAGCAGAGAAAGTGGATGAGACAGAGACTACTTGCCACTACCTGCAACTCGTTGGCTTTTCTGGTCTTTCGCGTTGGTTAAGCTTTTCATGCTGCTTTGTTAGCATGCCTTCTTTCCCTTCTTTCGTCCTCAAACGACCTCGTTTTGTCCCCTTCTTTCCCTCTTATTTTCCTTCTCTGAGACTTGAATAAAATGGCAGTGAAATTCATTCCTTTTGTCTGATCAATATAGAAAATTTTAAACCGAGATTTTTGGTTGGCAAAATTTTGATCATTTTTTTTGGGAGGAGGACGACGGAGGCGATGATGAATTCGACTCAGACCAAAATGCAGGATTCGAGCATCGACACAGATAAGCTGAGCTACCAGATATTCTCGATATTTGAGAGCAAGTTTCCTGTTTGGCTACGACGATCAGAAGCTCTGGGTTCCCAAACAGGTCTCTCCGTCCCCCACGTCGGTCCCCGACTCCAAACCCGATTGATTTTCAAGGCCAACGACACATGGCGCTTCCTTTCCGATCACGGGAAGAGCTTGTTCAACAATAACCGCTCATCCACCTCCGCTTCCTCCCCCGTTTTCTGCGTCACCTCATTCGAGGTTTTGGTTCGGGCTCGGGTTCAACGGGGTCTGCCACGATCGGTTCAACGGGGTCCGCCATCGCCAGGCACTTGCTGAAACAGAAGAATGTTGAATCGATGCTCTTTGGCGGTAAGAAGATCGACGAGCAGAGCAATTTCGAGAAGCTCGATTGGTTTGCCGGAGAACTGGTGTTCGATCATCAGATGAGGAGTTGCATAATAGCTCCCACTATTGCCTTCAAACAAGCTGCTCCCAAAACAAGTTAGAACTCAAGTA